ACATTGCGATTGTAGATTAATTATGCGCTCTTTCTACTTCCTATCTCCTACAGGAAATACACAACTTGGGTGTTTAAGTTCACACCAATTGCTATAGTGTTGCAGCTCTAAAGTATTAAAAGCATCTTTGATGACATTCTCATGGGCCGATGTCCTTTGATATGTATGCTTATATACCTACTATATGTAATTTAGTAGGCACGGTTATGTTTGTTACTGCACTCTGAAATCTTTAGCTTCCTGTGGGTACTTTCAGTTTTACTAGTTTTATTTTAGTTTATTGTATTTATAGTTTTAGTTAGCTTAATTTTTAATTCGGTTTAGTTTTTTAAGCCACATATAGTTGTTTATCAGCTTATCGTACTACAATATCCGTCCAAACGCATGAGCATTTATCGAGTTCAAAAAACTGGGAAGTCTGCCTTTCATGGTTTTGTTTTTATCTCGGTATAGAGTCGATATTGGTTTATAGGTACTTTTGCTTCCTATGAGTTTTTATTTGAAATTTAAATTATCGCGCGCAAATTTTTGGTTATTTAAATAATTATTTCTTTTTTTATTTTCTGCTGTTATACGCTAAAAATTAATTTCTTTTTCTTTTCTGTGATATGACCCACACATAATACGCCTATTAATACCGCGCCCGTAAGACATAATGATGGAGCTAGCGATATCTAAGTACTTCGGCCTATGAGAATGTTGCCGCATCTTTAATGTACGAGCAAGGAATATTCAGTGAATACCCACAGGACCTAAGTTTTTATTCACTTTACCTGCGTGCGGTCTCGTCCATCTGTAAATGTAAATCTACCTTAGGATCGACAATTGCAACCGTGAATAGTCTCATACCCTAAAATGTGGTTCCTAAGTGTTTTCCCATGTGTGAATTTTGTTCTGCGACCTACTAACTGACCCCTACGCCGCTGCAAAACCGTCATTTTATAGTAGATCGCCAGTTTGGTGGAAGTTTAATTTACCCCCGAGGACAGCTTATCTTTCACATAACTAGCTACTTACTTTGCAACAGTAGGAATGTTTTGTGTCACACGAAAATCTCAGTACGCTACCCCAGCCAGTAAGTGCGGTTGCCTACTACGACAC